ACTGCCTTCATTCGAACTTCTCCCTTTTCTTTATATACCTTAGCTCCATCATTCTGAAACTTAATATGTTAGCTATGATCAGTAACTTTGACTACTGATATTAATTTTTGACTCACTGATTCATTTAGATCATGAATACAACATACCTTTCAATCTCGCTGTATTCTCCACATATTGTTGTTAGAAGAGGCCATCACCTAAATTAATTGTATTCCTTTTTGTCTGCCTAAACCATCTCCATATTCTGAATCTTTATTTGAACAAAGATTTCTGTCCTGTGTGTTATATGCTTAGCCAACCTAGAATTCAATAGACATATCATAACATATTTGTATTGCTGCTTTCATTTTTTCTCGCTATAAAATATAATTCTTGGCATCTATGATGATCTTGGTGGCATTCCATGAATCCAATATTTTTCTACTGTTGTACGTGCCTGTTTATTTCAACAGAATATTATCTTTTCTCAATCAAACTCTACTATCATTAATAAAAGGTGAAAAAATAATGGCTCATAACTTACAAGATTTAATTACGACTGAAGGTTACATTAATACAAAGACTTACATTCTTTTGCATGATGCAGGTACACTTACGTGCACACAACAATGCTGCAATCGGCAGTAGAAAATTAATAAATTTCCAAGTTTTTGTAATTAATTCATGAACATTTATAGTTGCACGTCAAAGTTGAAATTATAAGCAACCTTCTCATACAATGTTTAATTTGATAATTAATACTTACATGAGCGATAGATTTTGTATTTCTTGTATTAAATAAGATTGCTATAGAAAAGTGTTATTGTTGCATAATATTCTTATTATTTTGTAATAATTATATACTTACATAAGAAAGCGTAATATTTTTTTATTAAGAAATTTTATTTACAATTGTTTATTTACAATGTTTACAGAGGCGAAAAATGAATACAAAATAAAAAATAAATTAAAAAGCTATCCAGCTATGGACGGAAATCGAACCCTAGGCCTTCAGCATAGGAATTCTTAAATGTCGCCGTTACACCATGAATCTATTTAAAAACTGTTGAAAATAAATCTATACTTAAATATCGTAATAAAATTTTAATTGTAAATATCTTAAAAATTATTGAGTAATTGCGGCTACAATAATATATATTCTTGAACTGCATCACGAAATGTATAAACCTGTAAAGTTTCAACTAAATCGGTGGCTCGAAGGACTTGCACTCTCCTTGTGAGAAACGTGTAATGATACATTTCGTACTATTCAACAGTATTATTTTATATTATTTCTGTATACTTTAATGTTAAAGCTACAAGTAATATTTTAAACACATTCTTTCAAAAAAATTCTTTATTTATAATTAAGTCAAATTTAAAGGTTACCTTTAATCTGGTTTGATGGGTGTAGAAAATAAAGTTTACAAAATATACTTTCTGTCTCTAAATAAATATTAGACATTTCGTTGATTAAAAAAATTCGATAGAAATTTTAATCCTTCGGAGAAATAGATGATCTTACGTTAAAAATACGCGATTCAATGTTACTTTCGTCGTGCTGTATATCTGAAGAACAATTCGTATCGGGGGAACCAAAAACAAAAGTGGTTTCGAACTGTTTGGACCAGTCATTATTCGGTTTTAATATATTTTCTCTTGTTTCACTAGTTTGGGAGTTATCTTTAGGATCATCCAAAGATTTTTGTCGTTTCTGTTTCGAAAAATTCATTATTTCCCAATAAGCGGAAGGCAAGCTGTTTCCGTTGTTTAGATTTATGATCTGATTTAAATTCTGACTGTTATCAAGATTTTGCTCGTGTAGTTCAAATGAATTAGAAGACGATATTTCGAAAGGATGATTTTCAATCGTTTCCTTAGGAACACCTTGTACAATTCCTTTGGGTAAAATGCTGCAATTATTCGTAGAAGTAGACGGTTGATTAAATTTGTTCAAGAAGCAGTTTGGTAAATTTGTTATAATTTTATCCGTGCATTCAATTTGCATTGTTTCTCGAATCGTGCACTTTGATTTTGTATCACCTCGTTCGTTTAGAAGTTCAAACTGTATCAGATTACCAGTGTTCTTTGTAATTTCGTGTTTCGCCGCATGAGTACTATCCAATAGGTTCTTAGTGCAATTAGCTAACGAAGTCGACGACGTAGTTAAAGCTTTGTCTATGGTTGTTCGGAGGCACTCTCGAATCTCGTTCATTTCTGATCGATGCCTTTCAGAAATTGAAATATTTTCGAATGTCTGAACGTTGACGTCAAAATCTTCTGGTACAAAGGTTTTTTTAACGTTTCTCTGTCCAGACGTACATCGATTGTCATTCTGTCCCTTCATTTCAGAAAATTGAGTTTCGCTGTAAGTTCTCTTTTGGGATTTTCTCTGCTTACCGCGCACTCCTGTTAGGTTTTCTTTCAACCGGCAACGTCTTGCGTTATCGTTCCACGTTTTCTCATGGCTCGTTACGACAGGATGTTTCCGATGTGTACGATTTCTTACTTTCAGATCTGTCTTTCGACAATTTCGAACGGATTCACAAGATTCCTCTCGAACCGTCGTTCCTTCTATATTTTTCGGATCTTCCAACACAGAATCCAAGGTATCCTCGTTAATCTGTATAACATTTCTGCTTCCCAAATCTGAGTGCTTATAATCGTTGTATCCATTGTTCCTTTTGCGTGGTACTTGTTCGTCCGATAGATCGTCGTCGAAGGTGACGAAGCTCTTGAACGAGATGTCGGCTTTTAAGCTGTCCCAAAAATCGCAATGGATTTGTAGGAAGCAGTCATCGGTCCTAAAATGCGTTCTTTGGAAACTGAAGATAACGAGCTCCCTCGGTGTCGTCTCCCATGCCTCGATCAAGGATGTCAAGATGTCGTGAAGATTCCAGTCCACTGTGCATTGCTTCAATCGTTCTGTGTACCTTTAACAAATATTTTACCACTATCTGACAAAGAAAAAAATCGAGCTGGGTATATCCGCCGTACTATCAAAGATTTGTCCCCAGTCTTGGAGAGAGCTATTTGGGGTCAAAGACTGGGATTCTGGAGAAACTCTTCTCTCGAGACTCACCTTCGTCTGAAAACCATCTTGATGTAATGAAATACGTCTCTCCGCAACGGTCGTAAAAGCGGCGGGAAATCCTCGGGAAAGTAAAGGAGCTGTATATTGCTCGGCACGAAATCCTTTAACGCACGCGCTCTGTTCTGACGTAGAAATAACAAGATCTTTCGATTACACTTCGTCATACGATCGTTCACGCTCAACAGCCAATTCCTGAACAGTTTGTCCCCGATGTGAGAATCTTTGCTCTGACAATAAACATGATCTTTCACCGTTGCGTTACACGGATACGGTCCGCAGATCAACAACGGCAATTTCATCGTTCCCGAAGAATTGCAGCTCATCAAAATCGTTATACGGTTCTTCGGCGATTCGCTTTTCTCTGAACCTTTGTTCGACAAGATCCTCGAAGGAAAACCGTCCGAGTACATGGTCAGCTCGTCCACGTGGAACAGATCCTTGTACCTGTACGCGATTATCGTGGACCTCATCAGCTCGATCCATTCGCGATAGTCTTTGAACATCGGACCAGGCTGACTCGTCGAATTCGTGGATCTCAGACCGTACTCCTTCAAAATATTATTCAACCATCTATCCGTGCACTTGACACCTAGACACATATATCTAATTCAGACTGAAACCAGATTGAGCGAGATCTAAATTCCGAGCTATTTTATCGACTAGTTGCGCAGGAAAGATTTTACAAGCTAGGTTGTGAACCGTTCGTACCCCGTATCTTCATCAGCCTGAGAGCCTCTTCCCGCAGCGAATGTTTGTCGAAGGAACTGTTCATCGCGTACTTCTTGCAAACCCATTTAAACAATTCGTCCTTTATCGTCTTCATACCAATTTTCGAGTCCTGTTTATTCGCGGTATCCTTCGAAAACATCGATGGTAATTGGTAATTTAACTTGTACGAAATGTACCGTTATTTTTTGAAGAGATATAACTGCTAGGTTCACTGATGATTTTCGATTGTCGATCAAACGTCGTTTTTCGACTACGCGACTATTCGCTACCCTTTTCAGAGAGCTGCACCGATGGATAAATTTAAAAGCGTCTGAGCATCGTTCCTCGCCGCTGTTTCTCGTGCAATTTTCTCAAGGCAAACTCGTCGCTTAAGCGGCGGATAGTCTCGGCAAAGGAAACTCGGTAACGAGTGCGATGAAGGGGGTAAAGCGTGACAACACGTAGAGAGCCGTGTTTATGCAAAAAATTTAGCTCATGCTCGAGAGCAATTTTCCAGCGAAGCGTGGCAAAAACAGCTTTTATTTTCATGGATATGCGCGGCGAGAGCCGTGCGTTGACCGCTCGATGAATATCATTCATCTTGCAGGCCGAGTTAAATTGCATTTCTCCGGGGCGTCGTCCTGACGAGACACTTTCCATCGTAAATTTTCATCTAATATGCTGCTTTATATTACCACCCATCCCCATCTCTGCCATTGCCAACCTCCTCGTTCTTCACTTTCTTTCCCTCGCTTTGCCCTTCTTTGCCCAGCTTTTCGCGATCGACCGTCTCCTCCAACAGCTCGAATTCTATCGATGAGATTTCCATTGTCGCCGATCATAGCTCCGATATGTCCCGTGGTTAAATAGAGTGGATCGATTACGGTTAATTAACCGGCTTGAGGCTGCTTTTTAGCGGGTTGCATATTCGGACCGATTTCGGGGATGAGGCCTATTTCACGGACGGGTAATTCGTTCGTGCGAGGGAACGCGATTACGGAAATAAGCAGACAAGTTACAATCTATCTGAAAGCTTTATCAGCCAGGAGGAAATCTGATTAATGGACGTTCGCATTCCCACGCCATTAGCAGCGTTTCGGTAGGACAGGCTCGAATACCAACGATCGAACGTCATTATTCAAATCACCTGGGGCTGCAGTATCTACCATAGATTTGTCGGGAAGTTTAATTAATTCCACGGAATAGTGAATGCTAAAAAATGCAGCAATCGCCTGTGTATTATCTCGCGATGCTGAATGACGAACGTAAAGGTAAATCGTTTCTCTAAATCCTTCGCAAATATTTCTGTATCGCAAAATCGTTCCTAGGGAATCGATGGATAATGAACGACACACATGGTAGCTGAGAGTGTACATCCACGGCTATTTACCATTGCACACAGTAGACTGACGCGTGTCGTTCGGCCTGTGGCTCGGATTCGATGAGATTAGAGTGACACGAGTGCCATCGCATTATCATACTCTGCAGTTTCTAACAGTCGTTAATCTGCTGACGATTTGAATGCATTTCAAGGAAAAAGTGGCAACAAATGCGACAGGTTTGCGCGATACGATCCACCTGGAAGGTCTATTATCCTACTTCGGCTGCTCAATTATTCACAATTCAACGACGGCTGGAAGAGCGACGCGTCCTAACGATGCAGTCGGCTGCAAATATACGTCAAAACGTACATACGTCTGTTTGGACAAACGGGCTTTAATTCCGCTTTATCACGGTTGATGGAAAACCTCGCTTTTCGCTGTTATTTATGCGGTTGCTCGGAAACCTTCGACCGCTCGTTGCGTCGCTGGGGATCACCCTGCCCGGCGATTTCTCTCTCGACTCGAACCACATCCTCTACAGTTCTCCATAAGAACTGCCTCCGCAGTGCCAGGTAACCCGAGCAATCTCCATTTCCCGCTTTCTATCGAACGCGAGTTTTCTATTCGTGCCACTAAATCAGGAATTTCGCGATCCGCTCTCGTCCCATTTTTCACTCGTTGCCAAAAGCGTTTTCAACTTACGGACATCGTTCCAGCTAGTGGAGAACGTGTCCAATTCAAATTCCTACTGCGGGCGTTTATTCTAGCAATCGGATAGAACGAAACATAGAAGAGGACCGCGCGACACGAGCAAACCTGCCTGTTAATCGGTTTGTTGATTTCCTCGCTAGTTAATATTAATATTTGTTTCGATATTTAGAATCTTTTTGCCTTTTTCAGTTGACTTGTGGTCGAAAATAATAACGATATGCAGCGCGGGGAATAAACGGGAAACCTATCTCGCGTAACGAGTGCGGTTAACAAACGAACGATCGGCGGTGGGGTAATAAATCAGGGGATAACGGATTTACATGCACGGTACGAGTTCAGCGGGTTCTTTGTTATCGTTTTTGTTCATATTTCAAATCGATAATGCTCGTTCCATGGCCAGGAAGCGGTGACTAATAGCTGGCTAGATCGGGCGCAGTTCGTTTCGCTCGTATAATTTATCTGTCCCCAAATTTCGCCCATCTCTGTTGCATTTTAAAATTCGAACGAATTCGCGAGTGAAAACTTCATTTCGATGGAAACTATTATCCGTTCGATAATTTCAAATCTAACTTGACTGTTTCTTTCCTTTTGCAGATTAAAATTTCCTCGCGGATCGAGAGCGTTTAGTTGACGAAGAAGATGAGGATCTTCCAGGAGGAATTAGTGCGTTGCAGGAGAAAACAGGTCTTTCCACTGAGCAAGCCACGTACGACAGCTTTCGACGTCGAGACCACGTACGCGGAGGTGGTCCGAGACAAGAAGAATCGTGCGAAGAAGTACCATGGTCCAGATTCGCAGCTGTATTCGGCGATTTATCCTTTGTTTTGCATAATGAAGGTGTTCGGTTTGGCGCCATACGACTTCAGAGGCGACGAAATCGTGCCATCGAAAGCCTGCCTTCTATTTTCCTTCGCTTTCATGGTTCTTTATTGCCACATCATGTATAGGGTGTATATAAGATTCATTTCCGTTAAAAGGAAGAAAGCGTTTCTTAACGTGGTCGAGACTACTAAGGTAAATTTCTCGTTTTTATGAGGATTTCCGCGTCTGTGTATTAGACGTAACGAGTCAACAGCACGACGAGGATCTATGTTTGCACGATGTTAACGTAATTACAGGTAACCATCAACTACTTCGTCGCTATGTACGAGCTCGTTGCGACGATATTCAGGAGGAAAGCATTGAGCCAAGTTTGGAACGCTCAGCAAGATTTGGACGAGAGGCTGAGCCAACTAGGCTACCCACGCAAAGAGACGAAAACCGAGATCGCGATGTGGACTCTTTTGATCAGTCAGATCGTTGTCTGGACGGCGGTTAATCAGAGTGGGATGTACGCTTTTGGAGAGACTTGGCTGTTTAACGTGAGCTACATGTGCATTTACATCGGCACCGCGATATCCGTGTATAAGTTCATCGGAATGGCCAGTTTTCTCGGTCAACGCTTCCATCAGCTCAATAGGATCGCCAAAGAGAACTTACCTCCTAGCGTTGGATACAAAAGCAGTACAGTCAGTAGGCAGGTGGAGTAGACACAGTTGATTTAAACGGGCTTAATGTAAGTTTCGTTCGATCGCGCGAACAATGACGGGACGTAAAAATGCTTTCATGTTTGCTCGAGAAAGACCATCCAAGATTTGCACAACCAGTTGATGCTAATCAGCGAGACACTGAGTTCTCTTTATTCGTGGTCGCTATTGTTCTGGGTTGGAAATCTCGGCGTACACAGTATCAGCAATCTGTATTTCATCATCGATAATATCATCTTGTCGGCCTATAAGGACATAACTTGGCCTATGATACTCAACATGTGTTGCTGGCTGATCGGATTTGTCACGCAGCTTTTGGCCATTCACGTCGCCTGTGATTATACGATAACAGAGGTAGCGTCCATCGTTTCCTATTTTATTTGACATACCACCTGTTACGGATTCACGCGAATTTTAGGCTAACTTCATGGGTGCGATCCTCATCGAATGGGAAGCGAGAACGATTCGGAGATTTCCTCACGATGCGAGTATCCCACTATAAATTCCGCTTAATCGATTATCGAATAGCGTACAATTGTTCAATCGTTCGTCTCTTTCGCAGGATTCCGTTCTTACTTCGCTGAGCTTTTTGAATAGACGGCTCCATTTCTCTGCCGGCGGCCTTTTTGATATAAAGTTGTCATTGCTCTGCACGGTAAGGCATTTCCTATCTGTCTCGGAGAAAAGGAAGCTTTAATTGCAACGAGATCCAACTTTCCACTTTACGCATCAGACAACTCGAAGAAAATGCGTCTCTATCTCGATCGTTCCAATTCTCCGATTCTGCCTGCGATCTCGCGAAAGCAAAAGATTAATTGAATTCTGTTGAATAATCGCGATTTTCAAATGTTGCCGAAGAATCGTAAATTGCACGGGGAAAAAGAATTCGAGAAGATACCGTAACCCACTGCTCGATTTCTTTGTTATGTTTCATTTGAGCCGTCGAAGTTTACCCAATTTCCAGATGATACTCCATCGATATCTCGAGTCGCGGCAATCTGAATACGTCGTTACGTTTTACCACTCGACCCGTCTTTTATGCTAGCACGCACCCAGACAAAACATCAGACAAAAAGTTAATAGCTCGTTCAAAGTCGTTGATCGAAAAAGCATCCCGATTGTTTACAGTTCGTCGGAGGGATGTCGACGTATCTAATCATCCTTTTGCAGTACCTTTGAGCTTCGATGGATGCTCGAAGTGAAGATGCTCGATGTAAAAGAGAAGTAAGAAACGTCCCAAGAGATTCAATAAAATCAATTCGTTTTTTTCACGTTGGATACATTTTTCATCGAATACCTTTTCCTACGTGTTTCCTTCGGAGCGACTCTATTTCGTTGAAACTACTTTCCCACCGGTAAGTACTCCGCCCAGATTTTTCACGCGCTACCGAATCCATATATCCCTGCATTTGCATAGGAATTGCATTCGTTTTTGCCAAAAGGTACCTCGTTTGGACCCCAAGGAATCGATTTTCGGAATTTTTCCGGAATTTAGGCTGCAACTCGATGGAAATTCTCTTACTACGCGAAGAGCAGGTGCAACTATCTATCGCGCTTTTGCTCGGTAAGTAAAAGCTAATCAGCGATACCGCAGGGTACATCGCGAGGGAGTTGTAACAGCTCCAGGATTATCCTCGAACATGGTATTCGAAGGAAAACCGATCGACCGGCCAATTATAGTCGACGTGCGTTTAACTGGCCGGTTAAAACGATCATACGGGAACGCGATTTCAAAGAAGATCAACTTGCGCTCGAAGATACGTTATCCTCTGCAATAAACTACTTGTAATCAACCTACATGCAAACTTTATCGTTCCAGGATGGTGAATGGTATTGGAACGTACACGACATCTATCCTGTATCTTCGCTACTCTGCTGCGCTTATGCACATTTGCCAGGGCATGAATTTTCTCGTAAAAAATTTTACGACTGCAGTGAAATCGCAGGACGTGAAATCATCGGGTTGTGAGACGGATCTGACTTTACGGGAGATGTGTCCTTTCGGTATCGACTTTCTGCCAGGATTATGAACGAGTCACCAGAATAAGATTATACGTTTAATCGAGCTTAGATACACTCGAACTTGAGGGCTGTCTCTCGGCAGAAGAATCGTCGAATAGAAAGGTAAATAGAATTTTTATGTTGGTTGGCTCTGGTGAAATTTAAAGTACGACCTTTTCGGCGCAGCCAGGGGCAAAGAAGAAATAAAAAAATCATTGACACCGGACACCGTGAACGAAGACACGTTGCAGCAATTTTCTACACCATCACCCTGGAAAATTGCTTCTTCTCTCGTTCTGCCGACATTTCCTTTCTTCCCCGTTATACGCAACCACCGGTGTTGCATGCCAATTCCTCTTGGTACTCGTGTAACTTTGTTAGCCCATTAAAATCATCACGGGATTCGTAACCCATTTAATTAAAATATCAACCGTAACTCTTCTACTGCCAGTGGCGCCGCGAATCTCGTTACCAGAGACATTTCTTGCGTTTCCTTTCAAACATCCATCGATCGTCTCTCTAACTTCAATACAGAACTTAATACCAAATTGAAATTTACAAAGTAAATTCGGTGAAACTTATTTTCTGAAACTCTCGTTCGTTCGAGAGTCATACAAAGGATGTAAAAAGTTCATTTCCTTCGCGGTCGCTTCCTTATTCGATTCGGGAATCCAGGAAGAGACATGAAAGAACGGATCACCCTCGCGCTAACTTTTGTATTCGTTTCGTCGTCGTTTTGGACGGTTACAGGCAAATGGATTAGTTTTGTCACTCGAGTGACCTTCTCTCGAAGCTTCCTCAGAACTGCGATGAATAACTGTTACATTTTTCTGAGAAGTCGACCAGCCACGACGAGAAACGTGCAATCGCATACGGACAAACAGTGCGGTAAAGTGATCGTAGACGGCAAACGATACAACCAATGGTAAGAAAGTTTAATCCCCAAGGTTTCTAAAGGCTGAGACGTGGTTGCGTTGACTTCAATCCGGGATTTAAGTCGTATTCGCGTTGCCGTTGGGGTAGGTCTGCTCTTTCCTGGAAAACAAAGGGTAAGCTTCCAAAGGAGTTCGGCGGTCTCGCAGGTCTACGTTTCCTAGCAGGATGGCGTTTCACAAATCTTAATCTGCCAGGGATTTGTGACTTTGAGTTCTACTTTTCGTCGACCCGATCTTTCCTGGCCTACCGGAGTTATTCCGGGGCCGGCTAACGAACTCGTTACGTTCAATTAGCGTTTCGCGCGGCTCGTAAATTAGCGCAAATTAATACGATCAATCGGAGCGCGGTGGAGAACGATTCGATAAATTAGAAAGAGATATCGCCACAGCTTGGCTGCTGTAATTAATCCACGTGAAGCTCGCGACCGGATCGATCTGGCCGAAGGCTCGTTAAATTATTCCAACTTTTCGGCAATGCAAAGAGCAGATTCTATAAGAGTAAATTGTCGATCGGTATCGGATCGTGTATCTTCGTTTCTCTTTGAACAATCGACGTAAACGATCTCTGAAACGTCGTTCTCTAATTAATTGGTATCAATTGCTGGCGAACCGATGCAGCGTAAACCGACCTGATTCGTCTAATTTTATTGGTTACCAAAAGCAGATACGATTTATACCGATCTCCGCGTATTGCATCAGCGATCACGGACTAATTACGGTCCGCTGATTAATAACTGCTGAGCTACGAGCTTCGTCGTGTTAATTCGCTTTTTAATTCGCTAATTTTCCACCTCTTTCAACGGAAAGCAAGGTTTCCTCGATGCTCCGACATCCCACGCGAACTGGTTGGCTGTGTTATTAAAAGAGGGTGCAAGCAAGGAGGAGTTCTCAAGATATTCTTTCCCGGATTGTCTTCATTCGACGTAATTAATTAATGATACGCTTGTTCAGAGGTTTCAGAGGGATCTTCGTATGCCGCATACGTAATCCGAGTCTAAACTACAGCGTTGATATTGAGATCTAGGCGAACATACATGTGTTTGCAACGCAAGCTCATAAATCTATGTCTGCGTATGTACATATCTATCGTTAGTCGGGAACCGTGTAACTCGTTACATGCAGCCTGCCAGAGTTTGCGTTATCACTAACGAACGGTAACATCGGACCTCCTCTCTGCTTCCGACATTTACTCCTTTTTATCTTCTTACTTTGTGTCAGAAACCAGAGTTCTACTTCGTCGTTCTTTGACATTGCGACTACATTGCGTGCGTAGATAATAATGCACAAAGTCGCACGAAGAAAGCAAACACGTACGTAATTTCACGCCAACTTTTTTAAAAGCAGCTACACATTTTCATTTACGCTAAAAGTACTGACAAGTAACGAGCTCTTAAATAGAACGATGACACGACGGAGATAAATGAGCGTATATATTACATTTTTATTTCGATAAAGGTAGACCTTTTCCAAAAGCAACGGCACACGCTTGCCGGCAACCGCAGAAGCGAAAAAGGTGAAAAATCATTTTGACTGATTCGATACTTCTGGCCTGGGTTGAAATTCAATACTTTTGACGCATCGCTGTGACGCAAGTAGATGTTCATACCATGCTCGGTGAAAAACTTCGAAATCCTGTAGCTTTTTACAGTGGTTTCCCTGTCACGGGACTAGTAAACCACCAGTGGCCCCGAAAAATCCACCGGCCTTGACACGTACACCCACCGACAGCGTACGTGCATTTCGCTACGTTCGGTATTTGCAGCAGTACGCTAATGGCTAGCCATCAAGACCCACGCTTAGCACCCACGTCACACCGTGACCGGTGCACACGAGCTTCTACGTCACTCTACTTTCCACCGTTACCAAGATTCCACCGTTATGACCTCACGAGCACAGAGACATTTACTTTCATAATGTCACAGCATAAGCTCCTACCACCCTCGCGAAGTAATCAGAATAAGGACGAACGTTGATCCCACGATACGAACCGTGTTCCCGACGATAATGTTTCATCATTCTCTATTATTATTTGACAACGTAAGCGATAGCCTTGCAGATGAAGCATATATCGTTGGTACAGAGATTCTATTGCACGCTGGACAAAGAGTTCTAGCTTAATATCTTCGTTCTTCAAATCGAATTATTTTACAAATGTTACCCAGGTCGTTCACGGATTCTATCCTTTTAATTCCAATCTTGCAAGAATATCTAGCCGATATCGAAGGAGCAGGGTTTCCGATTAGATCGCGATGGAGGACGGGTACAGCTTGACTTTAAAAAGTTATCTAGACGTCGAATGAAAACCCTGGGTCGTTGGATGTGTAATTGGAAATTGGATTCAAAATATCGGAACGGTATTACATGGATGTGTGTAATATATAAAGTTAGATAATATTGGTAATTCGAAAGAGCAACTAATTGCTTTCATTGTTTCAACGTCGACGATGCTGGAACATCAACGCTATCTATCCTATGGAAGTTAACTTTGGCAGGATTCGGTTCGATAGATCCGATTAAGAAAATTTGTCAGGGCCGGCGATCGAATCGGTCTCCATCGTTATCCCTGCTTTGTTTACGGCCACTTTAAGCTCTAGCGTAGCAAGCACGGACCGTCGCGTCACAGAGATTACGACCACCCTCTTTTTGTTCATGGAGATCGCGAGAATAGATTATTCAAGGAGTCACGCTTCTTAAAGTCCCAAGGCAGTCCGTTGGAATTTTACTTTCCATTAGCCTAAGAACCTCCTCTATGTACGAAAAGATATACGAATCTCTTGAAATATATAACGTTGCGAGAATTTTTATTGTATATAAAAAAGTATTCCACAATATAAGCGTGTCTACGTACAGTCTAAATTGTACGATAAATAAATCTGTACAATTTATCGAAACACTTATGTCTACGTATATCTCACTAGCAGTTTCTTACAATTAGATATATGGCACAAATACGTAATACTGGTGAGGTTTTAAGATCAAGGTATAACGCTAAAGCTAGTTCTCTGTAAATATTTCCTTTCAGAAATATACGAGACTACGTAGAGTTCTTTTCCTTGCTTCTAATTGTTTCTCCTAGCGGATTACTCTATTCTCGCATCCTTGTTTTCAACGTTTTCAGCCAAAAAACGAAAGGAGCAAGTATCTCTTTTAACTCTAAAACATTACGCACGAAAATGGAAGTCTTTACAACGTTTCTGCCAGAAACGGCAAGATTCGGTAGCGTACGCCATTTTTCACAATTTCATCCAGTTTACAATTTTTCACTCGATCACGTATTCTAATTTTTAATAGATACTAAAATATCATGTGGTATTCACGATTAAATTGAAGTATAAAGTTAAATCGTTTAAAAGAAAAAGAATTATTCTCCGCGTGTCCAAAGATCTCGAAAAATATTTCTCACGAAATATACGAGACTTTATCGCGTGACAAAGGAACGCGTTCCTTATAATTAGTCCGAGGTGTACAGTCGTTTAAAAAATACGCGTACAATCGTAAAACGCCATCCATCTAATTCTATAAGCATTTAAAAAGCATACGTTCGCTTTAAATCACACACTCATAAATTACAAAATCAAGCGCTAAAACTACTAATCTCGATCATTTGTACTATCAACATGTAAGAAAGTTTGTACTGTTACGCTTACAAATTATTTCCAGTTTAGGAAATTTGATCAGCAAAGAGATAGTCAAGTAATATTAAAATCTGGAAATAACTCGCATGAATGATTCTCCCAAAGACTACACTCGTATTCTAACACTACAAGTATAGAATATAACTATACTATACGCAAAATATTTGATGGTTTAATTTTACGATAAAAGCGGTGAATCTCACCGGAGGAACTACGGACGTGTAACAATGGACAAAGATTCAGGCGAACTTAGAACGCAGAATTCTGCTAGGGTTGGATCGCTGACCGCGCGCACAGTTTCGCTGTTAAAGTAAATCTTGGTGTTCCTTGGCTTGATGGTAGCGTAGTGAGGTTCCGACTCGTGCGGGACCAGAGAATAGATCTTGGAACTGACTTCAATCCTCATGCGAACGCTCCTCCTCTTTAAAGAAAGGGCGTCCTCGTAAACGCTGGACCTAGGTCTCTCGATAGTTTGCGGCTTCGGCACGTCGTAAATCGGTTCCTGTTCTATGTTCGACTGGCACTTCGAATGTATCTCGCTTTCGGACTTGGACAAGAATCTCCTAGGGATATCGTAGTGGCTGGCAGCGAGCGAAGCGCTGCGACAGGAAGCCGACGAACAAAGATCGTCGCAACTTCTTCGGAACTCTACCTCGTACATGTCGTTCTTGACGATCATCACCGATTCCTGGCTGTTGCGACATTCGTGAGAGTTGCAAAATTCCTGAGGCTCGTCCATCTTTGCCAGGGTAACGAACGGATGCTTCGGGATCTTGGAAGTGCGAGGATGTTTCTGTATTCCGTCTAGGACCTCGTTCCCCGGAGACGGACTGCGAGCTTTCTTGGACACCATTTTGCGATCCAACGACATGGTGACCATCTTCGAGGGCGGATAGGATGGTCCGAGATCCAGCTTCACGTCTTCGCGTGGTACCTCGGTTAGATGCAGCTGCTTCGTGCTCTTTTTCCTGCAATACGAATAAACGTGTTAGTTTCAGTCGGTTAAAATATTATTTTAAGGTCAACTTACTCTGACGTGTCACAGAACGCTTCATCCTCATCGTCGTCCAACGTATTCTTTGATTTGAAGGTTTTCAGAACAGCTCTTCTGTTTGCTTCGATATAACTGTTCTCCTGTTGAAGCAAAACTTCCGTGATGGAAATCAGAGAAGTCAAAGAGGAAGAGGAGCAGGACTTCTCGTCGTATCCGGAATCTTGGAACTCTCGAGACTCCTCACTCAAGTTCCTCTCCGAGGAGAATAGTTTGTTTTTTTTCTCCAGCTTCCTACCGGTCAGCGAATAGAGCAGTTTCTTCAGCGACCTCTTTCGTGGCAATTTCTTCCCTGTAATGGGTATCCAATCGATGGAAGTGTCCTCGACTTCGATCGGTTTCTTTAGATACGCTCCCACTATTTTCGGAGTTTTGTCGATGCCTGAAATTTTCTGGAAGTCCAAATTAGACTCGTTCCGTGGTAACTCATTGACCATCGTACTGGTCTTGGGAAACGTATCCGTGGGCAGAAAAATAGTTTCGTCGGGTTCCGGCAAAGTTATGTCGAGATCGATACCCTCCATCGTTCTTGTATCGTCGAGAGATGACATCTTTATCGAGCTGAAATGAAAATTGGATCTTCGACTGGATGCCTCTTTATCGAACTTGAAAAGACTCGAGCAATCTGAACTAGAATCCTTCGAATCTTGACGTTCCAGACCCAAGGGGCTCGAGTAAATCTCCGACGAACTTCTGTTTGCATTTTTCAACGGAGACGAAAATGTTTCCAATTTTATAGAGCTGTTGGAAGTCTCCGATTTATTCTTCGGCGACACGTAAAAAACACCCGACCTCCTATTTCCGCTTTTCATCTCGTTATCTACGCTTTTGGGAGAACCATCCACGTCGTCGGACGCGTTCTTGAACGGAGAGCCGAAAATTCTAGACTTCCTTTTTACAACCACCGGTTTATTCTTCGCTGGTAATGGGCTCTGAGATTCATTTGCATCCTCGCTATTTTGCTTCGAATCCGAGGCACAATCCAATTTCTGGGAAGGTATAAACTCATCGTGGTTGCTCTTAAACGGACTGCTGGAGGCTATGGATTTCCTTTTCGGCGCTTCTTCCATGGAAGTGTTCATTTTACTCTTCTCGTGGCTTTCTTGAGCATCCTGTGCAGTCTTTAGATCGTTATAAGTCTTGTATTTTACCTCGAATGCCGCGACAATCTTCTTCACGAAGTTCTTCTGCTTGGTCCCGTCTGCAGCCCCGTCCTGTTTCGAAGGAGAGAGGAAACCCGTCTCGAATTCGCGAATAATACTCTCCAAATCCGGCATCTCTGGGCGTGCCTGTGGGGATCCACAAGTTCTCGGTGGAGTGCCATTCTCGTAGGTGTCGCTGAGCCCACTTCTGTCCAGAGCTTTCATCGTATTTGTCCTTATAGGACTGGCAGAAACTTGGTACTTGCTCGGTGAATAATTCCCAAGCTTCCTAATCCAATTTCCCTTAGGATGCCCTGATCTTCCCACCTCGTTCTTCCTTTGTTCCTCCTTTTCGCTCCTGTACTCCACGTTCAGCTACAACGGAGAAGAAAAGGTAAATATACAAGCGCGCTAATCCAATTTTTTCCTCTTTGTTAAGCATTGCATTATCGCGGAATTTCCAGAGATAATAGAGCAAGCAATGTCTCTAACAAACCCACCTCTTCGTTGCTACTCTTCTTCAGCATACGGTGCAGAAACATATTCATTTTTACCGCGTTCATTTTGGATTTTCCACGCGTTATTTAAAATTGCGACGAGCAAGTTCTACCCTATTATCAAATTACCACAATTGTCCAAGGTAAAACACGTAAAACGGATTCTATTCGCTGATCGAGTACGTTGATACGCAATTCACATTTTATCGCGGAATCTCTTACGCGCAGAAAACAGAGTCTATTCGATCTCGAATAATTGAAATTTTATGAAATTTTACACGCTCCGATTGAAGCAACGCTTTCAACTGACTTCCACGATGTCGAGACGTCGAAATTTTACTATTGAATGAGGGTTAACCGGATAACGCGGCCTATTTGTACCTGCGAGACGTTGGGGTAGGTAATTGCCACCTTCTGTTTGCCGATTTTTCGCTGCTAAGGGAGGGGATAGACCGTTCAAACGTTACAAGCATTCCTTTGATTAATTTTTTAACCACTTCTCTTGACTTAAACGCTATTGGTTTCCATTCTTTATATTTTTCACATTTTATATTTTCAAACTACCGGAAAGTTAGCTTTATGCAGTTCCGAATTGATATATGCAGTGTCCATCGCGTAGCATGTACATATGGGAAAACAGTTTCCACTTCACTCTATTTTCGCTGCGAAACAAGCAATTTGCGTGGAAATCGAATGAAAGTACGCAAGGGATAGCAGATAGGAAGAACACCTGCGTGGAAAAGCTGTACCGATGATTAATTGTTTTTCATTTTCGAAAATTCGTTTCTGTTCCGATTAAAAAATCGAGCAAACGCGATAGCAAATGGAAATGAAAATAACACGAATTGCAACGGTGGCGCGATTCGACGTGTGAATAATTCCAGGCCTGGAAACGATAATTGGAGGCTACGAATATTGGAAGGAAAAAGAAAGAAAAGAACAAATCGCGTATATTTTTCTTCGACTAATATCGTCTTGCACGAATACCAAAGATCAAACGTATCGTTTAGCGTAGTTCCTCCTGGACCTCGGCAATAGCGAACACTGTTACGTGTATCGATACCGACATCGATTTCCCATCTATTACAACCCGATCATGCAAATTTCCCGCTCGATTGGTGAATGCAAATTTCACTGCCGATACGGAGACACGCCCATCTCAGTTTCTGCAAAACTAGGCTCCTTGCTCGATCCCCGCTTACGACTATACCTGCCAGGACGACGAGTTTCCACGAGAATGACTGGCAGTAAAACAATATTTATCCGTATTCTGGGCTCTTCCAACGGGACAGTGTATTGTTCTCGCTAGGAAATACTGTCCCATCTACCTACCGTCGAAATCGATCGACGTTCCACGAATACCCTATGCACGCATCGATACCTAATATCCATCGGGGAATAGGAGGAATCGGGAAGAATCTCGAGCAGGCGAATTCCATCGAAAAAGTCGACCCATGCGCTGGTTCGTTATTAAAAATTACAGAAGGAAATCCGAAAAATTGCAGGGAAGAACGTGGAACTATCGCAATTAGAACCAATTTCCCCCGTAGTCCTGCGAATACCCGAGAACCACCGTCGGGATATCTGGCAGGATTAAAGCCCAACATCCTCGACGGTCGGTTACCATTCTGCAGATTAATCGAATTCTGCAACATTAATTGCGTTCCAGAAGAGACGCTTGCTGAGTGATACGAGTAAACGTAAGGCTCGCCAGAGTTCTAAACAAGTGGGGAGTCTGTGGAATTTCGCGGACGCGAATCAGGCGAATACTCGCTCAACTCGTCACGCTTATTAAACATTCTACGAAATCGCGATATCTGGAATTTTCCATAATTTTCCACGAAACTATATTACCCTCTCGTTCGCTTGAAACCTTTTATTTTATTTCTACCATTTATTTCGTATAATCCGAATTTCTAAAAGAGTACGGTGTTTTTGAAAAACATTGCAGCGAAAGAACAGACCTCGGCGTTGAAATTTAATAAATCTGTGCCCACGAGAGAAGAACGGTATTATAGATGAATGGTTTCCGAATCTCGAGCAGATATCGGAGAGAAATCCGATAGACCGTGGAACAAGATTGTTTCGGTTTTCTTTGCACAAACGGAATTAAAAGATATAAAACTGTGTCGGGTAGCGATGAGCCTGGGTAAAGAAATGGAATTTCGCGACGGATGAAATATCAATAGGAAAAAGGGGAAAAAGGGGATCGCTGGTCACGACGAAAATTACGGTATTTTCCTATTTTGCCGGCTTGTTCACCGGGACAGAGGAGCAATCAGCTCGTACCTACCTTTCCCGATGCCCTCAACTTCCTCTTCCTCCAATTCGTATCGAATATCACATTGCACTAATCGATCGACGAAATTAAATACGACAGACAAACGAAGCGAGCAGGTAAAGAGAGAAATTGGATTTGTCGTTATCCGTGCAACGTTCAACGCGAATCATTTTCTTGAAACTAGAGATTAAAGCAACGCGATCGCTGGCATGTTTATCACGGATGGTTAACGCTAATTCTTAATGGATAATGTTATAGCTGTAAAAAAAAGTAAATTTTTGTTCCTCGATGTGAACGCGAAGAAAATAATTTTCATCGAAAATTCTTGTACCTTTTACCTGAGATAACCACGCTGGCCTGGTCGTACAGAGTCCCGCTAATCTATATTTATTGTCGGGTGTACCCTGGGCTCGATACATGGCACAGGCTACTTCCATTGTCACATAACTGTCCTTCGTTTACCGGGATTACAATGCGGCGTATACCTGATGCGATTTCTAGAAATTATCCAGTTATCTTACCCAGCCATACACCAAATTCGAATATAACGAACGAGCAACGAATCTTTCTATTTCCAACTCATCGTATGCGAAAAAATTCGTACAGAGATCCTAAAAGAAGATGTTCGATGATGGGAATACAATTGCCTGTGGCGTAACTGTTGCCAGAGTTCGTCGAGCTTGGAGCAAATGCAAACTCCTACCCAATTGCACTCGTCCACTCGTTTGTCTAGGAAGTTTCACGGTAAACAAATGCAATTGAAACACGGTGACATAATTGGAGCTCGAGCGTCAATCAAAGCCAGTTACACGGTAATCAGTATCAGAAACTGTTACGAGCTAGCTAAAGCCCTTCTTCTAATTTGTCGGATCCGTTTCAGTCTAATTTATGCAAGACCCGCTGTTATGTTTCGTGCCTTCGATTATTTCATTCAAGGAGGATCGCATTATGTTCTCGGCCTTCGTTGCCATCGTCCCGAGAACAATGTGAAATATAACAATTCCCGGCAAGGGCTAGGTTGCCGTGGATAGAAGGAATCTCGAAAGTTCCTCTCGGCGACGGTTAACGATTTTAAATTAACACGACCATTAACGAGTCGTTGAAATTAAAGACCTCGTTGTCCTTTGAACGGCACAAAGACGTTCGATCAAAGTGCCATAACCGCGAGGGTGCTTAATCCCGGCAATAAAAACGTGGCTGGTTTTGCTCGAATGTGTATTTCTCTCGTAAAAATCCAATAGAATAGAGGAAATTTATCGTTCGTTTAATTCCACCTGTCTGCGCGCACGTCTTACGCTTTAATCCGTATTTACGTGGCAAATACGTGACGGAACGTATCGCTTCGTTTAATTCGAGGTACGACGGGGTATTTTTATTAGAACAATTAAGCTGGCCGCACGAACGGGTCGCCTAGATTAGCAGAAATATCGAGGAGAACCGTAACAGCTTTGGGGTAAATAGTCTTCAGCAGTCGCCGCTTATAATTGTGGCTGTAGATTCCTATTTCGCGACAAACGGGAATTAATTATACCGGAATCGCTTCCAGCAAAATGGAACAATAAGATTACACGAATGATTTGGGTCCCTGGGCGGAGCTGCACCTGGTCGAAAATACGATCCGGTGCATGCAAACTGACCTGAAAATCGAGCGAACGCGGAAACGTATCTTTACATTTATTACCGTGCAGTCAGCTGCCATTGTTACGAAGGGGTAGCTTCGTTCGAGCTTTTTGTCCTCTCCATACCCGCGGGCCGCCGAACTTTCTGCTTTGGTTTTCCCGCAAAAAAATGTCGGTTACCCGCCAGCGAAGTTCGCGTGCATTCAATTACGCCGCGGTCGTCGATAATTGGAGACGGCTACGAACTATGAACGACTAGGCGAGCAACTATCGCCGAATCGCTCCGTTAACTTCGTTAAGACTCGTGTCGCTCTATCGGAGGGAAACTGTGGAATTTCAGAGATGACTCGGGCGCCAACAAGAGTGGCGTGTTTAGAATTCAGCATCGTGCTGATCTTTGACCTACTTCTCTGTTTGATCTGTAGCAGCGCTTGCGTGGGTGGATTAGGATGAAAATAAAGTAGTCTGGCGTAGACAGAATCGGTCGTCGCGGCGCCAAACGCATCGATTCCCTGAAAATTCCGGAAAAACCTTCACGTATGCGGTCATTAGACCTGCCAGCTTAACGATCTTCCCGCCTCGCGTTAGAACAGACCCGAATACAGAGTGCGCCCGATTTTCGGAGCATCTCGTGTTTGCTATCCGCAAAAATAATCTATGTAAATAGAAAAAGAGACGAAGAGAAGTAATTCACCGTGAATTAATCATGGATGATCTTCGCTAGTGCTTAATCCTTCATAACTCTGGGGTCCATCGTGCATCATTTGCCAGGGACCTTTAATCATTTATTTCCCTGACAGATATAAGCAATCAACAAGAACTAACTCGGTTATGAGTTACGTAGACTAGTTCATTTTAGATGCACGATCGATAATTTATAAAGGAAATGACGCAAATTTCTTTCCACCCGCGACTCCGAAACTCTGGATTTTGTATTCCATCGGGAATCGCGTTGCAATATTTCAACTTGAATTCGTTAAATTCGTTAAGTTCGTTAAATTCATATTTGCCATTGTCGCGTTTCGTACATTTATTTTAGCTACCTCTTTTCCGTAAAGAACGAGGATAATTGCACGAACCAACGAATGAACGAGCGACCAAAGGTCTCCGGGAAATTAAGGAAAGGGCATTGGGTAGGATGTCGTAAACCATGTTTGGTAAATTGA